CCCCTTCCCCTCGCCTCTCCTTTTTTTCCCCCCTTCTCTCTTTCCGAAGTTCGCCTGGTTCTCTTTTTTCTTTTTTTCTTTTCCCCTTTTTTGTGTATTATTTAGTTTTTTTTTTTTTTTTTTTTTTTTTGTATGATCGGTTTTCTCGTGGTTTGTTTGTTTTTCGCTTTGTTTTGTTTTCCGATTTTTGTTTTCTTTTTTCGTTCTAAGGTCGCTACCACACACACACAGACAAGTAGATACATACACGCCATCACTATTAAATGCGAAAGAGAGATAGAGATAAGAGTAAGTAAGGAAACTACGGCAAGAAGAGAGAGAGAGAGAGAGAGAGAGAGAGAGAGAGAGAGAGAGAGAGAGAGAGAGAGAGAGAGAGAGAGAGGGAAAAAATAAGACGAAGGAAAAAAAAAGGAGTGAATATTTGAGCAAACGTGAGAGATCGATGGGGGGAAAAAATGAAAACTTTACCCGTCTGAAAGAAACTTTAGAATTGAATAAAAGGGAAAAAAATTAAACGCAAAAGAGGCAAGTCCGCCGTAATGGCTAACTTGCCCCCGACCCTCCCCAGGCAATTTACGGGGTCGCTCTGCCTCTCTCTACAGGTACAGTCAGTCACCTTTGTAACCGATTTCCCAATCACTTTCCTAACTTGTTTTCCCTCTTCCTTTTCCTCTTCCTTCTCCTCCTCTTCCTCCCTCTTCATTTTCCTTCTCCTCCCTTTGCCTTTTCCTCCTCCTCCCTCTTCCTTTTCCTCTTCTTCATCCTCCTCCTTCCTCTTCCTTTTCCTCCTCCTCCCTCTTCCTTTTCCTCCTCCTCCTCCTCCTCATCTTCTTTCTCCTCCTACTCCACCTCCACCTCTTCTTCCTCCTCCTCCTCCTCCTCCTCCTCCTCCTCCTCCTCCACCTCTTCTTCTCCCTCCTCCACCTCGTCTTCCTCCTCCTCCTCCTTGTTTTCCCTCTACAGCCCTCAGTGCCCGTTGCCCGAGCTTAAACACACGTCTGCCCACACGAGCGGAAGGGACACAGTCGCGCTTGCAAACGCACACGAGCATCTGTTTGCTTGCACAAGACAGCTTTATAAAAGTGGCATGCATGGGCGCGAAGGGACAAGGGGGTGGGGGTGGGGGTGGGGGTAGAGGGGGAGATGGGGAAGGGAAAAGGGATAGGGGAGGGGGTGAGGGTCGGGGGAGGACGGGTAGGGACGGGGTATGCAAGAGACAGGTATGTGTTCTGTTCTCCTGTTCTCCTGAGGCAGCGGTTATTGGACATTACGTAAGGTTCGGGATTCTTTAGGGAGAAGAGGGGGAGGGGGGGGGGTATCTTCATGGATGATATGTGTGTTGTTTTTTCTTTTTTTCTTTGTTGTTTGTCTGCAATACTGCTATGCTTTCTTACTTTCTTACTCTCTCTCTCTCTCTCTCTCTCTCTCTCTCTCTCTCTCTCTCTCTCTCTCTCTCTCTCTATCTCTATCTCTCTCTCTCTATCTCTCTCTCTCTTCTCTCTCTCTCTCTATCTCTCTCTCTCTTCTTACTGTAGTTTCCTTACTTACACTTATCTCTATCTCTCTTTCGTATTTAGTAGTGATAGAGTGTATGTATCTACTTGTCTGTGTGTGTGTAGTAACGACTTTAGAACGCTACTTCCTCTTACCCTCTCCCTGCTCCCCCCCCTCTCTCCCTCCTTTCTTCCCTCCTTCCCTCCCCCCCTCCTGCTGCCCTCCCTTCCTCCCACGCACTCCCACTGTGATGTTAATTAATGAATCCTCTAATGCGTTCTATAACAAAGAAGTCTTGACTTGGGCTCCGATTCCTGTGGGCCTCCCACGGGAAACGAAACCATTTCCTGGCCTCTTGTAAGTTACCTATTCTCTGTCTTTTTTCCTTCTTCCTGTCCCTTCCCCTTCCTTCGCTGCGCATTCTTCCTTTGCTGTGTTTCCTCCTCCTCCTCTTCCTCCTCCTCCTCCTCCTCCTCCTCCATCCCCTCTCCTCATCTTTCCCTTCTTTCTGTCTTTTCGCTCTCGCTCTTCTATTTCTTTTCTTTTTCTCTTTCCTCTTCTCTCTTCTGATCTGCCTTTTCCTTCACTTCTCTTCTTCTCCCTTTCTTTTCTCCTCTCTCCCCCTCCCCCTTCCCTTCCTATCTTCTCTCAGTTTTAGGTAAAGTTATTAGTATTATTTTAATTATCATTTCTATTATTATTATTATGATTGTTATTATTAAAGTTAATGTCATTATTATTAGTATCATTATTATTATCATTGTTAATTATCATCATTGTTATTACTATTACTATAATAATTATTATTATTGTTGTTGTTGTTGCTGGAACTGCTATCATTATCATTATTATTTTCATTATTTTTATTATTATTATAATTATTATTTCCATTATTTTTACTATTATTATCATTATTATTTTCATTATTTTTATTATTATTATCATTCTTCTTATTATTATTATTATTAATATCATTATTGATATTGTTGGTCTTGTTCTTGTTATTATTAGCATTATTATTATTGTTATATTAATTATTGTTATCATTATTATTGTTTTTTTGTTGTTGATGATAATGGCATTATTGCTCCTGTTTACATTATTATTATCATTATCATAATCATCACCATTATTACTTATTAGTATTTCCATGATCATCACCATTATCACTTATTTTCATTTCATTATTTGAGGGCTTTCTGAAAATATTTTATATCAATTAAAGGCAAAAGTAAACAAAGGAAAAAGAGAGGGAGAAAAAAAGTTCGAACAAGAAGATGATGGAGAAGAAGAAGGAAGGGGGATAGAGGTGGAGGAAGAAGAACGAAAAAGAATATGAAAGAAGAAGAAAGAGAAAAGAAAAAGAAAGAAAGAAGGCAAAGGAAATCGTAGATAAAAAAGACAACCCGAGATTCACAATAAACAAATAAAAAAAAATAAGTGAAATAAAATAAGATAAAATAATAATAACAATAACAAACATTTTATCACCGAACGAGTCGTTACGAGGAATCAGACTCACGAGACCACTTGTTGATGGCGCGGGCGTGGGGGGGGGGGGGGGCGTGGTCTCGCACTCGTGTCCTTTTTTTACTTTTCTTTGTTTCTCTGTTTGTAAGCTTATTTGTTTGTTTGTTTAATTTTCCCCCCGAAATAGTTCCTGATTTGTTGTGGTTTGGTATCGAGAGGGGGAAGGGTGAGGGTATTTTGTTGTCTTTGTTGACATTTTTGTTTGAATGATATCTTTATTGTTATTGTATTTATTATTATTATTATTATTATTAGTGTTATGATCGTTATTATTATTATTACTATTATTATTATTATTAATGTTATTATTATAAGTGTCGTTATTTTTGTTATTATTATTATTATTATTATTATTATTATTATTATTATTATTGTCGGTATTTTATTATTATTATCGTCGTTATTTTGTTGTTATTATTATTGTTACAGTTATTACCAGTGGTAGTTATTATTATTATCATTATCATTATTATTTCTTATAGCTAATATACAATCTCATCTTGCTATCGCCATCACCACCAGCTGTGCCAAAAGTTAATCATTCTCTGTGTATTTAATATCTCTTCCTTCTTTAGCTCCTTCGCATTTGACAACATTCAGTGTGTATAGACTTTCAGCATTTCTATTTCCTAAGAGAATATACGACTTGAATACGACCTCTTTCTCACCTGAGGCTTCGCTGTGCTCCTCGAAGGTCGTCTGTTATTCCTCCTCCTCCTCCTCTTCCTCTCTTTACTCTATTTTCTTTTCTTGTTTTGTAATTCTCCTTCTCTCCTCTCTCTCCCCTCGCGTCTGAGATAACCCGTAAGTGCACGTTGTTCAGTAATATAACGCCTTGTGCTTTAATTACTGTATTTGTGTCGTATATGTATGTGCTTTTCCCCTTTTTGCCTTCTCCTCTCTCCCCTTTCCCCTCTCCCTCCCTTCTCCCTCTTTTGCCCTCCCCTCTCTCCCCTCTCCCCTCTCCCGTCTCGTTCGCTAACACCCTCACTTCCCCTTGCCTGGCTTTTCTCTCTTCCCATGAAACTACTCTCTTCTGATTGCCCCCCACCCCCTCCCTCTCCCCTCTTCCTCTTCCTTCTCCCCTCTCTCGTCTGATTCCCTGTTTTTTTTCTTTTTCTCCCCATCTCTTTTCCCCTCATCCTTCGCATATGCCCCCCTCCCCCCCCCCTTTCTACCATTGTTTCTGTGAGAGGTAATCTAGCCGGGTTGTCCCAGCGACCCTGATTTGATGAAATTACTTTTTTTTTCTTTTAATCTCCTTAAATTTCCATCTCTCTCGATATCTCTCCATTTTATCCTTTCTATCTCTACATATTTCTCCCTCTCCCCTTCTCATCCTCTCCCTCTCCCCCTCTCACCCCGTCTCGTTCGCTAACACCCTCACTTCCCCTTGCCTGGCTTTTCTCTCTTCCCATAAAACTACTCTCTTCTGATTGCCCCCCCCCCCCCTCCCTCTCCCCTCTTCCTCTTCCTCTTCCTCTTCCTTCTCCCCTCTCCCGTCTGATTCCCTGTTTTTTTTCTTTTTCTCCCCATCTCTTTTCCCCTCATCCTTCGCATATGCCCCCCCTCCCTCCCCCCTTTTTTTACCATTGTTTCTGTGAGAGGTAATCTAGCCGGGTTGTCCCAGCGATCCTGATTTGATGATTTTTTTTTTTTTTTTTTTTTTTTTAATCTCCTTAAATTTCCATCTCTCTCGATATCTCTCTCTCCATTTTATCCTTTCTATCTCTACATATCTCGTCCTCTCCCTCTTTCCCTCCCTCCCTGTCTCTATCTCTTCCTCTACCCCTCCCCGTCTTCGTCTCCCTCTCTTTCCCCCTCCTTCCCTCCCTCCCCCCCTCTCTCCCTCCCTTCCTCCCTCCCTCCCTCCCTCCCCCCCTCCCTCCCTCCGCCTTTCTTTCAGCGATTGTGATTTGATTTTCTCCCATTGTTTCCGCATATCTTATCTCCCCGCTTTGCCTCTTCCCCGACAGTCCCGGAGCGAGAGTATGGCTTCGGTGTGTTCCGCGGGCGCCGAGGGTCGCTACGGCACTGTGGTCGTCAAGGGCGAGATCGAGCTCGGCCTCCAGTACAACTACAAGGAGGGCCAGCTCGAGGTCCGCGTCGTGCAGTGCCGTGACCTCGCCGCCGTCGACACCAAGAGGAACCGATCCGATCCGTAAGTACTGATGGGGTTGGGGGTCTGTGTCGGGCGTGTGTGTTATTAGTCCGTCTGTCTGTCTGCTCGGTTGGATTGGTCTGTGTGTGTGTGTGTGTTTCTGTTTGGTTGTGTGTTTGTGTGTGTGTGTTTCTGTTTGGTTGTGTGTTTGTGTGTTTCTGTTTGGTTGTGTGTTTGTGTGTGTGTGTGTTTCTGTTTGGTTGTGTGTTTGTGTGTGTGTGTTTCTGTTTGGTTGTGTGTTTGTGTGCGTGTTTCTCTTTGGCTGTGCGTGTGTTTCTGTTTGGTTGTACGTTTGTGTGTGTGTTTCTGTTTGGCTGTGTGTGTTTCTGTTTAACTGTGTTTTGGTCTCTCTGTCTCTTCGGCTGTGTTGACCTGGCTATCTGTTTCGTTGTGTCGGTCTGTGTGTTTCTGATTGATCGTGTTTCGTTTTTTTGTCTTTCTTTGATTGATCTTTCTATTGTTTGATCTCGTATGTTGTTTTGTCTGATTGGCTGTGTGTTGGTATCTTTTTGGTCTGTCTGTTAATCTGTATCTCTGTATATCTATTCTTACGGCCGCTGTTTCGCTGTTTTTACTAAGTCTTTCTTCTGTTCATACATATGTACCTTTGTAAATATACGTTTTGTTGATTGTCATTTATCTATTCAATTCTGTGTTATTTAGTTATCTTTTTATTTATTTATATATGTGTTTTTTGTTTATTTTCTCAATATTATCCGATAATCTTTTTTTTTTTTTTTTACTTTCATAAATAATTATTCGTCTTATCATCCTCTTTTCTAATTTTAATCGCGTTTCTTTTGCCTCTATGTTAATTCCCGTCTTTCGTTCGGCTCTAAAAATAGTTCTCATAATTTGAATAACTGTTATTTCTTACTTAATGAGAGTAATTCGGCATGCTGATTTGGGACGTTGATTCATCAACGTGACTTCTGCTGTTTTATTTTTGGATTATGAGTTGCTCTGTTAGGATTGCGCCTTTTGTGCTTCAGATCTTTTTGGGTTTGCTTATTCCTTTTTTTTTCTTCTTCTTCCTCATCTTTTTCTCTTTCTCCATCTCCTTATTATCCTTCTCCTCTTCCTCCTCCCCCTCTTTCTCCTTCGAATTCTTTTCCTTTTTCTTCTTACTTCTTCTTCTCCCCCTCCTCCTCTCCTCCTCCTCCTCCTCCTCCTCCTCCTCCTCTTCCTCTTCCTCCTCTTTCTGAAGTTCTTCCTTTCTTCCTTTTCTTCCCTCTCATCCTTCTTCTTCCTTTTCATCCTCTTCTTCTCATTCTTCTCTTCCTCCTTCTCCCTCTTCCCTTCCTTCTCCTCCTCCTCCTTTCCATCCGCATAAATCTTGTCACCTCATTCCTGTCACGAAAATCCCTTCTGTCACGAATCGGAATGTTTGCATCGCCCGCATGACACTACAATTGCACTCGGGGATTAATATTGCATTCGGTTTAATTAAAGTCATTCCCACGTTCTCATTTGCTCTCGGGGGCCGGCCACGTGGAAGCGGTTGTTGGCGGCGTTGTCCGTGGAAGCAAGAATTGTTGTAAGCGCGGGGGGAGGGGGGTGACGTCGGGTATGTTATGGCTTGTGTCCGCGGCGGCGTCTGGTGTTTGTTATGTAATCAGATGTTGTTGTTGTTGTTGTTGTTGTTGTCAGGAGATGTCGGTATTGTTGTTAGGTTTATGTTGTTTCATTAGGAAGGTGTAGATGGGATTATTTGGTTCCAGGTCGCAGTTTTGATATATTTCTTTTCGGT